TAACCAGTTAAACACAGCACTTAAAAAGTTAACTGGTTAAGCGGGAATCTACATTCCTAGCCTGCAAGACTTTCTTGTTTGCACCCAGATATCAGGGCATTGGAAGACTCCGGGAGCTAGCAAGCATAGGCCAGGTAACGGACCCTGGTTGACAGAAGGCATCCTCACTGAAGCATTATTTCATGCAAGGACGCTACTTCGGAACAAGATTAAGAGCGAGCTGGAAAGCAAAAGCGGAGACAGAGAAAACAGAAACGGGCTTTGGAAAGGAGTAGTTCAACAAAGAAGTACGATTTAAAGACACGGTCAACTTGGAAAAGGGTCCCATTCACGTCAACCGTGTTGTTAAACCCATCAGCTAGTTACAAACACAAAAAGATGCAGAGAGACACTTTTTGGTTGCGTCTCCACAGTGCCTAGCGCAGTGGGATCTCGTCCATAACTGGCCTCTAAGACGTTACCACAACCCATAGGCCGAAAAATGAAACGAGAGAATCAAGTCTCTGCTCACCCCAGAGTACTCTGCACATCTGAGTTTCTGTTCCCCGCCATGCTGCTGAAAAGACCTCGGAACAGCAGCACCAACCGAAGCAAAGCAAACGAACCCTTCCATTGTTTTAGGAGGAAATCAGACAGCAGTTACTATCTAACTGACTATCGGAAACGGGGATTAAAAGTTGGTCTGTTCCAAAAATCAAAGGTAACCCTTTACATGGTTTAGAACTCTGCTAAAGGATCTACAACTGTGGTGTCCAATAGGGATGTTAAGGACTAGTTGACTAATCGATTCCCCCCCCACCCCACTGCCTCTATCAGACAGAGGCAACAAAGGGGGGGGGGGGGGAGGAAGGGGTACGTCAAAGCGGCAGTGCCACACAGAGCCTGGGATCAGCTGTGCAGCGATGCCCAGTGTGGAGCCTGGGGTCAGCTGAGGAGTTCAAAAGCGTCCGTGCCAATCTAGACGCACTTTTCTGCAAAAGAGCCCTGATCACCATTTTCGCGATCGGGGCTTTTTTGCGCAAAACAAATCTGAGCTGTCTACACTGGCCCTTTTGTGCAAAAAGACTTTTGCCCGAACGGGAGCAGCATAGCATTTCCGCAAGAAGCACTGATTGCAGACAGTAGGAAGTCAGTGTTCTTGCAGAAATTCAAGCGGCCACTGTAGACAGCTGGCAAGTTTTTCCGCAAAAGCAGGTGCTTTTGCGGAAAAACTTGCCAGTCTAGACACAGCCCACGGATCTAGAGCATCCTTCTGTTTTTCCTGGCGTAAGAGGCACGAAGCCACCACATAACCACGGATATATTCTAGGCCATCTCTACTGAATCCTGAACTTCCACCAAGTCCCCTCCTGTGCTGAAATCTTTCCCCTTCACTAAGCTTTGTTAGTGGGAGCACATGGGACCTACTTTTGCTTACTTCCATTTCCCCCCATGAAAACTCGGTTCGGCTCCCAAAAATTTTAACACACAACTTTGAGGACTTCACTTTGGCTGCTACCTAATTAAGGAGAAGGAAGCGTACTGCAGCTGTCCCTATCTGCAGCATGAGGTGCAGTATGCTATCGGCACTTCTGGGTGCTTCGGCTACAGCAGAACACGCATGCTAGAATCGGCAGTCGGCACAGACTTCCAAGCACTACTGAAGAGGGCCTTGAGCTGCCCTGATTTTGGAGGCATTCCCTCTTGCCCCCAATTTCAGCTTAAAATGCCAAAAAGCATGATTTTGCTGTTGGATGTACATACCTGGTACTTGGCCAAAGTTTGAGCCCCCTGTAAATACACCATGCCATGCATCATTTTCAATACATGCCCTGAGCAAGTTTCACTACAAGGGGACACTCACTGCACAAAACTGAAGAGAGCTGCACCGATAGGTAAGCATGTTTGCACCTGCTGTTTCAATTCACAGGGCCCTAAGCCAATAAGACGCATGATTTGTTCAGCTAAATCCATCACAGATAACCATGAGAGGGGCTGTGGGTTCAAGTCACTGCTCCACCCGAGACCCCAAATCAGTCACTGAGCCACATCAGCGCTACAGGAAGTAGTCACGGAGCCGCGGGGCCAGAAAGGGCAGCGACTGCAGCTCTGCAAGCGACAGTAGCAAGGCGGTGGGACATTCTTCTGTCGACCTAGCTCTGCCTCGGCCCAAGGGGCGGGGAGGCTGGACTTGCTGTAGCACCCAGGCATGTGGATTCTGCAGAGCCCGGTGCGATGGACTAGATCAGGCTGTGCTAAGTGTAGACCGGAGCAGTCTCTGTGGGGCGGGTAGCAGTGTGTTGTTGTGCAAGTGCCAGGCACAGACCAGACCGGACCCTTGCTGGGGCAGGTGTTTTACAAACGAGCCCGGACGCGCTTGCCCCCTTGCCAGCCCACCTGAGCGAGGAGTGCAGCAAGCGGCGCGAGCCCCCAGCAGCCTGCGCACAACTGCCAGCGCGCTCAGGGAGACCAGGGCAGGGAGTGTGGGGACAGTCACAGGGCCCCGGGGGGAAAGGCCCAGGGCACAGCGGAGCCTCCTCCACCCCCCTGCGATTTCAGTGCGGACGCGCTCCAGGGGCACCCGGGACACGCCACCCT